TGAAATGTAAAGGCTGTGGAAATTAGATCAGAAAATATTCCATTTGAAATGGAGTAGAAATTCGTGTTACACACAAGGAAAGGAAGGTGTGTGTGTGTGTGTGTGTGTGTGTGTGTGAGAGAGAGAGAGAGAGAGAGAGAGAGAGAGAGAGAGAGAGAGAGAGAGAGAGAGAGAGGAGAGAGAGAGAGGAGAAAGACAGAGAGAGACAGAGAGACAGAGAGACAGAGAGATCACACCAGGACATGGCTAGTTCCCTTAATGATCTTTGGAAGGCTAGACTATACTGTTCCTAGTCTTTAACTACAATAGTTTTCGCCCATTAACTACAATGTTTGTCACCTTTGGCCAGAGGTAGCAGAACCACTGGCTCTGAAATAGATTTTGTGTTCAGTTTCTCACTGGAATGGACAGAACAGCTGGAGTGGTTACACTGTGTCATTGAAGAAAGCCCTCTACTTGTACTGTCTTTCTGTAAGATAGTTGGAGATGATGACATGTTACTTGAATTAAATAAATGGCTCTGTGAGGTGGCACAGGGAACCCTGTTGAGGATCTAGCTTCCTGAAGGAAAAACACCTTCAGACCTTACAGTGCATGCTCCTCCCAGAGAAGAAAGAGTGAGCTATCAAAGCTATCTGGGCACTCAGGGCACGGACCAGACCTGGCCCCCTCTACCATCATGACACTTGAACTTTTCTAGGAGCCAGGGGACTGTCAGAAATCTAGATTTCTATTGATCCTTCACTATCCTCAGCATACAGTATCCCTCCTATGGACCATGGCTTGGCTGGTGGCTGTTTCAGATTAGCCATTGTGACTGCACTACAAGATGCAGTGGCCCAAATGCCAGAGAGACCAAGGGAGAGCCCTTCCCAGCAAAGCGATCTCAGCCACGCCAGAAACCACACCAACGTGTGCTCTTGTGTCTCCTGCTCAGAATGTAACTCTGGGGTCAAACTGTGAAGATGGCTAAGAAATGTGTTTCCATGGCTGCAATGCCCATCCTGCCGTGTAAAGTCGTAGTTCTGTTACTAAAAAGTAAAGGCCAATAAAAGAAACTTATTAATGCAGTATGAAAATAGTGGTTGCCATAATATTTAATATCTGTATCTTTGGACATTGCTCTCATTCTCTTCATTAAGTGCATGTTACCAGCATCATAGCAATAACTTCTGATGGAACTGTGATAAAAGTTCTCTACATAACACCAGAGAAAGGAAACAGCAAGCCCAGTATTCCAGTGAGGTCTAGAGTCACAGAAATAAATAAAACACTATCCCATATCACCATTCTGGAAAGCATTTCCTCTCATGGGTAGGTAAACATTGGTTTGTAGATATTGACCTTTCTTTTGGGGGTGGTGGTCCAAAAACCTTCTACATATATATATAGATATCAATTCCCCTCTTGATGTATTAGTGTCTAAAATTGCTTTGTTTATCAAGAGCTTCCAGGCTCACACAGTTGAGAAGTTTTGAGAATCTCCTTTGAGTGGTCCATAACATCTGAAGTCTCCAATCAAGGACTGTACATGTTCTTTAAACTAAAAGTCTGTACGTTAGGTTACCAAATATTTATTATTCCCATTTAGTGTGAATTCTAGGAGTCCGTAGAGGTAACTCTTTGTATCTTCTCTTTTCCTCTTTTGAAAGGTGAATCCTATGTCAAAGTTACTTAAAAGCCACTTGGAAGAACTGTGTGTCACCAGAGACGATGATCTTCCTGACTATATTCAGATGCCGACATTTTAAATGTCAGCACAGTCCATGGGTGATATACACTGTCTGCAAACAAACAAACAACAATAACAACAAGAAGAAACAGGGGAGTCCTGCCACAATGTGCACAGGAGGAAAGAAGTCAGACAGTTGGATCAGCATGCAATTATGTATTAATAATAGATGGAAAGATAGCCAAAAAGAGCTTGGCAAAACTCCCAGGTACTTCGCATAACATAATTTCTATGATCTGCTTTGCCGGTGAAGAGTAGAACACTCTTAGGCTGGCCCAGAGGTGGAGGGCTTGGCCCAGTCCAAAGACTGGCACAGTGACACTGCTCTTAGAATTACACCTCTGCAAGCCCTCGCTTTCTCCTCAACAGCCTATAGAGCGACCGGAAGGAAGCCATGAGTTTGGTAATGCTCCACAGAATGAAACCTGGGGTCCTTTGGATGCTTCCAGCAAGCATACATGGGTTTCCTCTGACATTTGCAGGGAGATCAGCTCCTAGGAAGAGAACTGAGTTCTGTTTTCCCTATGAATCGTGGCCTGTGAATGTACTGGGGAAACTGTAGGATCATGGGTGTTTATAGTCTTCTTTAAAATAGGCTAGTCCCTATTGAAAAAGAATTTATTCCTTTTTAAAGGCAGTTCCCTGGGGATTCTTTTTTTTTAATTTTAAAAGTTTTTTTTTTTTTCATTTCACATAACAATCCCAGTTTCCCCTCCCTCCCCTTCTCCCACCCCTCCTTCCCCCATCCCATCCCCCCATCCACTCCTCAGAGAAGGTAAGGCCTCCCTTGGGGAGTCAACAAAGTCTGGTATACTAAGTAGAGGCAGGACCTGTGAAGGCCTAGACTTGACTTTACAGGCTCTACCTTAGGGAAAGGGCCTCCATCTCAGACCACCTGCTGTACTCAGTTCCAGGAAGGACCTCAGGAATGTACCATGACAGCTAGAATGGATACAGAGCAGTATCCTCCTACAGAATCCTGTCTGTAGTTTATGGCCCTTGAAGATATCTAGATAATCCTGCTGAGCAGTCCAGATAATCCTGTTCAGTAGGTTGTGGTTCCCCGCCAAAAGTCTAACCCAATGATTTCAAATGTGGTTTCGCACCCAAAGTCTAGACCAATAGTTTCAAAAAAATCACCTTGGCCATATCCTTTCTATTCAATCCCAAATTGCCAATTCCTGGCTTGTGGTTTTTCCTTATAAAAACTCTCTACATCTGGGTTCATTCCCTATAAAAACTCTCTACATCTGGGTTCATGCCCGCCGCCGCCGCCGCCACATTTCCTTCCATCTGCTGTGCGGTGGCCCAGGTTGAACCTGAATAAAAGGACACTTATGTGCTTGCTTCAGAAACAGCCTCCTTGGTGGTCTCTGGGGGTTTTGCAAAAGAGGTTAAACAGACCAAGGTCACACCGTCCCCACAACCCCCTAGCCCGCGTCTAGGCTGAGCAAGGTGTCCCACCTTAGGGACTGTGTTCCAAAAAGCCATTTCAGGATAAGTCCTGGTCCCACTGCCTGGGGCTCCCCTGGGGATTCTTAAAGTATCTTCTATTTCTTTTCCTATAATATTCTCCTCATGCCTGTTCGCTTCAGTGTAGCATGTATCTGCATGTTTAAAGTCCACAAACCCAAATACAGAATGAAAGTAGCAGACCAGAAATGCCTCCAGATTAACTGAGTTAATAATATTTACATAGAGCAGCCCAAGACCCTTTATTTCCTGATTATAAATTTTTAAAAGATCATGTCTCTTTTATGCCTCCCTCATCAATTAATTTTTGAGTGCTCCCATTCATTAAAAACAAACAAAAAACCAACAGCCAGATGACTTTGGTTGGGTGCCTCCTTACCAGCTCATCCAAGAATAACCTCATCTGTTGTGGTTTGAATGGGAAATTCTTCTACAGACTCCTCTGTCTGAACACTTGTTTGCCAGGTGGTGGGGCTGCTTGGAAAGGTTGTGGAACCTTTAGGAGGTGGAGCTTTGCTGATAGAAGTAGATTAATGTGGGCAGACCTTGGGTTTCCTAGCTCAGCCCCACTTCCTGTTTTTTGTTTGCTTGTTTGTTTGTTTGTTTGTTTCTTTCTTTCTTTCTTTCTCTCCTGTAGCCATACCTCTTTCACCATGGGATGTGTCCAACTAACTGTAACCAAAAGAAACCCCTCCTTCCTTGACTGGCTTGCCAGGCATTTGGTCATAGCAATTAAAGAAGTAATTAATATAACCTCGGTCATTGAGAAGTGTTGGTTCTACACAGGAGTGGCAGGCAGCATATGGGGGAGAGGGGCTCTTGTTAGGGCACACTATAACAAGACTGACAAGAGGAATCATAGCGACTAGACTTGCATAATCTCAGCCAACTGCTCCTAATAGTCCAAAGATTTTAGTTGCACTGAAGTTAACCCGTTGACTCCCATCATCTTATTCAAGCTGTATCTTCTATTGATAAATGATCTTTACGTCATCTAACCCAAGGTCTCCTAACTCCAAATGCCAAGTGGAGTCCTTTGTCCCTCACTTCCCTGCAGCCCCAGAGATTCTTATGCAAGTGAAACGACCATCTCTAAAATGGGCATAGGAAGGTCAACTTCAATGAGGATGAAGGTCCTGCTCTTTCCTTCTCCCAAGTCAAGAAGTACTTCCTCAAAATGCATAGGAAAATCCAATGGTAAATATCCCTAACCCCTATGCTCACATAATTCTCACAGTAGATTTCATTCTTACTTTTGATATGGTTATTTTGTACGTAATATTTTTCTTACTGTAGTGTGTTCCCAGGGATCAGATTGTATCTCACACTTTTTATGTGGTCCCAAAGCAACTAGCATATAGCCCTTCACATATAGAGCTCAGTCGATAACTGACAATAAACAGAATGAAAACAGATTCAAGAGCCCAGAAAACACTTCTCAAAACTGTGCAGTTTTCTTGATTTCAGCTTGTCATTGGATTTAGCTGGCAGAGAGTAATTTCAGACTAATTCAATGGTATCATTGCTTGCTTGAAGCCATTAAATCCAGTATCATATGTCCCAGAGTCCATCTACTTCTGATCAGGTCTGTGTGGCTAAAAGCAAAAGTCCTTATGATATAACTAGACATTTTAATGGACCCTGAAAAAGTAAAATTACATTTTGAAGTTGTTTTTTTCTAAATAAATGCCATCTATGCATGTAGAAAATGCACAGTGGTTAAAGTACCATTATGCTTCCCTGAAATCCTAACCCTGATATGAGTTACTGAATTTTTACATAAACTTCACAGGCAGCATGTTGAGGGCTTTATTATCATTTCCATTTTATAGATGAAGAACTTGTGAATGAGAGGTAGCAAGTAAGTTGATAAAAGTTATACAAGACAGAAAAATCTGAACACAGCCAGATTTCCCAGTGCATCAGAAAAAGACAGGTCCTTATGGCTCCTTGCCAGGGGTTTTTCTCTGCATGATTCACACCTCATCAGCAGTAAAAGCCCTGGCAACAGGATGTCTTCTGTCAGGTTGTGCTGCCCCTGGGAAAGCCTGAGCCCTTGCTTGTCTTCTTACTGTTCCAGAAAAGGCTCAAGATAAAAAGTCCTGCAAGATAACAAAACTATGTCACTTTCTCCATCCAGGACATGCACCCGAGAGCCCATTGGTGAAGTCAATGAAGGACTTCCTATGCTCAGGAAGGGAGCCCAGGGAGGCAGTGGCTTGTCATGACAGGTGTGGAAGAGTGGAGAAAGGGATGTAGTAGAGGTAGGGGGCTATCCTTAGAATTAGGTGCTGCAGAGAGCAGGCCCCTTCTTTTTAATCCTAGTGTACTTTATATGAAGCAGAAAGGCACCCTGGGAAAGTCCTAACCGGGAAAAGGTCAGGTGCATGTCACAGAAGATGCACCTAGTTGCTGCCTTCCACCAAAAGATGTCATTGTAACTGTACTGCCCTTAAGCCACTACAACATGAACAGCTGCCCATCTCTTTCTTAGCCCTGGCCGGCTGAAAGTTGATTTCAAGGCCGTCTCTCTGTGACTCCAAGAAAGATCACTTGCATTGCAACTGATGTTTATCCTCCTGGATTGATTTCCATCAGGGACAGCACCATCAGTTCCCGATATATTTGCGATGTGGGATTTTTTTTAAATTATTATTATTATGTGTTTCTCTTGCATCATGGTCATGGCAGCTGTTTTGCTTACGCCACGCTCGAGCAGTTTTTGACATGTTTGTCTCCTTACTCCTGCTTCTATGCAGATTTTCTTTGATTCTGATCGCACGGCATCGATCCTGTTGCTGCAAAGAACCTTCCTGAAATGCTGAATGCCAATTACCTCAGACTGCACTGAGCAGTAAATTTTAGGATAGCCTCAGCAAAAGAAGTCACTGCAGTGTTTTACAAGAAAGGAAACTATAAAAGGAGTGTCCTTTAGATGCTTCTCTTGTTATTGCCCATTCAGGTCAGGTTTTATTGGTGCTTATTATCAAGGCAGAGAGTGATAACTGTGGAAACCATAGAAACCGATTATGACCAAATTGATGTTGCTTCGAAACACCAGTGACTCATGCTGTGAAACGCTTCCTGTGATCCATTAAGACGGGCCTTAGAGTTTTGTCAGGAAGGCCTGCTCTGTGTGCATTGTAGATAGATGTCAGCCACATGCTCACTGGGGAAGCTCTCCAAATTAAACGGCCTGGAAGTCACCAGGGTTTCCCTAGAAATAACACACCAGCCTTGATCAGTTTATTCAAACGAATGCCTTGAACTCAGGGGATTTTTATATAAAGAATGTATGAAACACTTACTGGATACCCACCAAGACCCTCTCTCTTCCATTTATTATTTGCCTCCAGTTCTTTTTGTTTCTTTTTCTTTTTTTTTTTTTAATGTGTAGCCCCCAGATGGTCTCGAACTCGTGATCCTCCTGCTTCTGCCTCCTTCAGCAAATCCTACCAGTGTGTGCCACCATAGCCGGCTGCTTTCAGTCCTTACAACGTTAAAGAAGAGTGGACAGGTTTGTTAGCAAGATGGTCCACCAGGTACCTAATAGATATCCTTTTCACAAAACAGTGAACACGCAGCAGCTTAGTGAGTGAAGGACAAGGGTAGAGCTTCACCACCACCACGAAGTGCGAAGCACAAAACCTCAGGCTGGCCACAGAGCAAAGGGAACAAAACAACATTCCTAACCCTCCCAGCTGTCAATCACCCACAACTGGACCGGACTTTACAGTGTGAAGGCAAAAGCAAGCAACCCTTGTGAATACTGGGGACTCCTGCTCCCCTTGTTTCTATGGTCCTACATCCTCAGAGGCCCTGAACTCAGTTTAGAGATCAGCCTGGGGTTCACACTGCTTGTGCTACTCTAGAGCCTAGGTCCATCAGAACAGCCATAATAACAGTACCTGAGCCCAAATGGTGTCCTGTCCCTCTAGGAGCAGGTGGACAAGCACAGAGGAGAAGCTGCGTCTAAGCTGGCTGAACATCAATGCTCCCCTCAAGAAAGGGGTGAAGCCGATTCCCTGACCCCATAAAATAGGAGCTGTGCCCTGATGGGGCAGACACACTCATTTGTATCCTATCCCCTGAGTATCAGATTCTGCAGTCCAGGGCAGAAAGCACATCTCAGGTGGTAAAGCATGCCATCCCTCTGATACCTGAATTAACCCAGTAGCTCATGGACTATGGGTATATCTTAGTGGTAGAGGCCTTGTCTAGCATGCAGGAAGCCCTCTGTTCAATCTTGAGTAACACACACACACACACACACACACACACACACACACACACACACACACACACGTAGTTCAGTAGGGAATCAGTCTTGATCCGGGAGAATAGTCATGATTCAGGTGCTGGAAACTACATGGTGTCTGATATCCAAAAGAACTGTAAGCTTGGCTCATGTGCAACACTCCATCCTCTGAGCCAAACAATGGTAACATACTGCCTCCCTACATCGGGACCATCTGATCATCTGACCACCTGATCTCCCTGAAACGACCCATCCCTGACTAGAGAAGCCAACACTGTACTGTTCCCTAGCACACAGAGCCCAAGTCACAGAGGCACCACACCATTCCCAGGTCCTGGGTACCACTGCATCTGCTCACATAGAACTGAGCCCTCTAACTGAGCCCACACTCATTCAGGGTCCAGAGATGTCATGGTTCAACACCCTCTCTTTTGCTGTCCAAATCGACATACTTCCCTGTTGACTCTAGAGCCGAATTGCAGCCCTGCCCTGGTTCTTGAAGGCCTGAGCCTTAGGAATGCTCTTCCTCCTTGGAACTTTGCCAGTGGTGTGTTCTGGCCACCGGGATTGGTCACAGCTGCGTCTCCACTCCCTGAGCTTGAATTATGTGGAATTGCTCACAGTGGCAGAGCTAATACCTGCCTGTGCCTAAGGGGGTGGGCATGCGCTCGAGTCACACATCCAACAACAGTTCAACAGGACACTCATGCAGAAACCCAGTTCCACTGCCTCTCAGCACCTGTGTCCTGGCACACACCACCACTGCAGCTGCCCGTGGGGCACAAGTCAGGCCTGACGTCAAGAGGGATCCTGGCAGCTAAGTCACTTGACTATGAGAAAATCAGAATAGGAGGAATCAGAAAGCCCTTGCTACTAAGATGGCCAGCCACTAGCTGACCACCACCACGGACAAAAATGCTCCACCCCAGGCTGTTGAGGTGGCCACTGTCACCATTGACGGTGGCACAGTTGACGAAGTTTCAGAGACGATATGTCCACACCCATCCAGAACCAGAGTTGTGGTTTGAGTGTGAAATGTCCCCCACAGGCTCACATGTTTGAACACTTTTGTTTTAATGGGGACCCCTGGAACAAAGACTTTTGCTCATACTTTATGGTACTTCTTCCTACAATTTTGTCTGCATGTAATTTTTAAATCCATTTCAATGCATTTGATTTTCAAGTCCATTTAATGTTTGATACATGTAGAAATAAGTGCTTCCTAACACATTTTGCCCCAGAGGGCTCATAAGAATAAATGTGCATGTGGGGATAGTATAATATTCAGAAAGGACAGGAAAGGGTAACCTGAGGTGACAAGGAATGACGGGAAGCAGGCAGAGGACACTAGTCATGAAGAGAATATAAAGATAATGGCTTTTCTAATGGTTAACTTTCATTTTTTTTCTTTCTTCGTGTGTTGGATAAATAAGTAAAAAGGTAATTCATAGCAAAAGTGTAAAACTCTAAGCGTAGCTCCATGCCTTCGAAATGGCCATTCTAACTGAACAGAAGTTCATTGAGACCACAGAGTTCGGGACTAGGCAACTGTTTGTTTGAATGTTAATCTGTGTGAAGTTTTTATTTGTGAGTTCATTATAGCAAAGTGACCTTGTGTATTGAAAAGAAAGAAAAAAGGAAGGAGGAAGGAAGGAGAGAAAGAAAGAAAGAAACAAAGAGAGAGAGAGAGAGAGAGAGAGAGAGAGAGAGAGAGAGAGAGAGAGAGAGAGGAAGGAAGGAAGGAAGGAAGGAAGGAAGGAAGGAAGGAAGGAAGGAAGGAAGGAAGGAAAGAGGAAAGTCTGCTTCCTGTTGCTGTGGGGTAAATCAATGAGGTGGTTCACAGAACGTTTCCAGTGGTTCTGGCATCTCAAAGGACCGCATCCGAGCTCATCTGGCCCCAGGCCCATTAGAGAATTTTGTGCTTTGCCACTTTGGACATAAGGACCTGTGAAAATACTGCCAGTCATTGGAGCTGTCGGGCTAGTTCCTTCCTCCTCCCAGGCACCTGAACTTCACTTGAAATGTCATGCGAACCTACGCTGACCTGTCGTGGTCTCTTGTCTCGTGTGTCTGCTGTTTCGTTCATTCGAGTCACCGTGTTTCGTGCGTGTAACTTGCTAACATGCTTTCAGTAACGCAAAATCCACCGACGATTTTCTTTCCAAAATGGTAAATCTTACAAATTTACACTTTCAGATGGAAGCTGGAAATTTTCCCAACAGTTCAAATGTTTCTAAGGGTTTGTATTACGTGCGACCATCGTTTCTCAATAGCATAGGCATTTACATTGTATCTTGTTTTCCAGTTTGGAAAACATTTATTATAATCATCCATGTGATTCTCAGAAAAGGTTATTAGCTTTTTTTTTTTTAGGCTGGTACTTCCTTCAATGTACTGGCTATATTTTTTCTTATATTTGTTATTGAAATGATATGTTTTCATTTCAAATTAGCATATATTAACATCTATTAATTATATTCTACTATATTTTCTGGGTTTGCTATGAGTAGTTATTATAAAGAAAAACTAAACATTCTATTTTTAACCAGTCACTTGGCCAAAACAATTGGCCAACCTTCCTTGCCATATTCTATTTGCGCACTCGGTATGGAAGAAGATACTGTTGTCATGATCCTTCTGGCAGTATGCACCACAAACTCAGAGAATAACTGATCACTGAGTTCCTTATCACTAAGAAATACTTTAGCATAAAAGTATACTACTGAATGAAAGTCAACATCACAGAATATTCTTCTTTATCGTAATTTGATTTTAGTTGTCAGGCCTAAAATTACTAAGATACATTCTTACAAAACAAAAGATATTAAAACTGCAATATCCAGTATTTTCATAAATTTCCCTTTTTGTTAAATTTCTCCTAATTCTTTTATATTCAGGAATAGTTTTATGGTTGGTCTCAGGAAACAAGTGACCATTATAGTCAAATCTTTCCCCACAGTAGTAGCAGAAATTAACCAACCAAATATTTTAATGAAGTATTTCAAAGCATGAAACTAAATCATCGAATTAAGAAACACACAGCCCTGTTATTTGTACTTCCAAAATTATACCTGAATAGACAGAGTGGTGACAACATTTTGAAATTTATACCACCTTCTTGCACTAGGCTGAAAACGGTCAAATCTACTGACAGCATGTCTTGGACAAGGGGAGAGAAATCAGTAGACATCTCATGACTAGGCTGAACAGACCTCAGGCCAGTTGCACTCTGCTGCTTCAGGTCCTTGAAAATTGTCTTGGGCTTGATTGAATTGCTGGTTAATACACAGGAACTGAATTAGGTCTATAATTCAGACGGCCTTTTCTAATGACTCATTTTTTTCTGTCAATAAAACTGACAACAGAGACCGGCACAGTTCCCTTGCCTATCTCTGGTCTATACTGTCAAGTCACGTGACAGAGTGGAGTGTTGCCAGATGTACACTGTCACTCCTGACTGGAGTTTTCATGGAAACAAGGTTAGAGAGGCAGGCTGTGCAAGTGCAGGACTTTCTCAGCAGATGGTGTGGGAGGGTATCCATCATTTACCAGAAAGTCTCACAGAGGCATTTTTATTGATGGTAGAGTACAAAACTTATACAGATAGGCAAGTCTGCTTTTCCAGTTAAAACCACCTACTTTGGCACAGGACTTCCTTCACTGACCTCAGATCTTCTTAAAAATATCAGATAGCTTATCTCTCTCCAATTCTGGAGACCATACAGGAATCTGTAAGAAAAATTAGGGAAGTCATGTTTAATGGCAAGTTGAAAACACAAAAGAATTTGTAAAAGGTTCTCATCACAAGGGATTTTTTTTTTAAAACAGTCCCTTTCAAAGGAACAAAAAAAGGACAGCCTTTACCTTTGTTCTGATATTTCTTTGATGTCAGTCTTGTCTCTGATGGGTTCATGTATAGATAAGCCATACCCAAGAATATTCTGACATTTAAACAGATAATGAAGGGACAGATATGTGGGCTTGCTGATGGAGCCCTGATTAGAAGTCACTGTGATGATAACCCACTTCTCACACTGACTTGCCTGTGTGAATGCACACACACACACATACACACACACACACACACACCCCTTCACTCAGCTAAGATAAACGAAGTAGCTCAGAGAATTCAGAGAAGAATGACAGAGACCAGTGTGGACAATCAGCTGTCACTAAACTATGAACCGTGAACCCATTTTCAAAGTGAAATCGTAAAAGGAACATCGAGTTAGCACTTAAATGAAAAGTTGAAGAACAATTTTTAGAAAACCGTGCTTGCTAATCAAGTAAAGGCATAAAAGTATCTTTAGACTATAAAAGGCACTTGCTCTTATTCAAAGTAAGGGGAATTTAAACTAAAATGTTGAGATAATATTTTTTTTCATGAATAAAGCTGGGCTGAAGAGTTGGCTCAGTTGGTGAAGGGCTGGTCACATAAGCATGAGGACCTGAGTCCCAAACCCAGCACCCACTTAAAACAAAACAAAAACACTTGGCAGAGTAGTGCACCCTGGAGAGGCAGAAATAAGAGGATACCTGGGACTTTCTGATTAATGAATAATAAATGAGTTCCAGGTTCAATAGAGAGCCTGTCTCAAAAGAAAGGGTGGACAGACTCTGACACTGACCTCTGGACTCTACACACACACATGTGCACTCAATCACACATGTACACACACACATCAAAAACGAAACCTGGAATAAAAAATGTTAGCATTCTCCTTGACCAGGGCTTAGGCAAATTATCATCCTGTTACTGAACCTGAAACTCTTAAGTTCGTAGAAGTTTCATGGGAAACAAACTGACCACTTCCGTTAACATTATAGATATACCAAACCAGGCTAACTCAGAAAGATCCATCTCCGGGAGGTGATTTTATCAAGCCACTCACTGGTTGCAGTGACATGCATCTGTAACTCCAGCCCTCCTGCAAGGAGATGGAGGGATGAGATAATAAAGCGGGCCAGATGCTTGTGGTCCAGCCAGCCTGGCATATGCAGAGAGCCAAAACCGGGAAAGACCCTGTCTCAACACAGCGAAAGGAGACAATTGACCCCTGAATGTTATCCTCTGACTGCTACAAGCACCATGAGCTGTGTCCACCCACATTCACACATACTGAAACTCATAGCAAAAACTTAAAATTGAAAGAAGAAAGACAAGGCTGACTGTAGCCAGAAGTTTTCCTGTCCAGTAGCCTCTTAGTCCCAAATAAACACATTGAGGCTTACATTAATTACAAACTGTTTGGTCTATGGCTCAGGCTTCTTGCTAACTGGCTCTTTCATCTTAAATTAACCTATTTCTATTAATCTATGTATCGTCTTGTGCCTCATGGCTTTACCTGTCTGTGTTCCATTACATCTTGTTCCCCTGGTGGCTCTCAGTGTCTCCCCTGACTCTGCCTCTCTTCTCCCTGTATCTTTGTTTGGATTTCTTGCCTGACTCTTATCCTGTTTTGCCATAGGCCAGAACAGCTTCTTTATTAACCAATGGTGGCAACACATGTTCATAGCATACAGAAAGACCATCCCACAGCAGCTGACAAATTCATAAAAGTTGTCAAGACAAATTTAATTATAAAACCAAAATGAAGAATAATATGCAAAGTATAATTCTTTTTGCACACATGCTCAGTATATCAACTGACTCTAGAAGGATACAGAAGAAACTCAAAGGAGCATACTGCTTTAGTAAGTAAAACTGAGATCATGAAGTGGGAATGAAAATGGGCATGTAGATTTAGTTTATAATGTGTTCAGGCATTATCTAGACTCAGGAAGAGAACAATTAAAATAACGCAAGAAAAAAAGAGGTAAAAAGAAATAGAAGAAGAAGTAAAAGCCCAAGCACTCCTCTTTTATAGTCATTCCAACATGAAGAGTGACGTGCTTCCTATGGGAAAGGCTCTAAACTTTCAGCAGCAATTATTCCTCCGTTCTTCCAGAAGTTAGAGATCAAAAGCATCTTCCTACAGTTAGTGCCAAGAGATCTATATTTCAAAACCTGAGCTCATGCTGACTCACTGTCTACAATGAGAAAGTCATTTTATCTCTTTTAGACTTTTTTGTACAATCATTGTAAGACTATTCTTTTCAACCCCAAATGTCACTCAACTGGAGGTTTTTTGGTTTGGTATAGCTTGTTTCAGTGTGTTTCCAAACTAGCTTCATTATCTTAAAGGCTATACTCTTAGCTAGGATCTTTTTTATTTCTTTTTTCTTTTTTTTCATTTAATCAGACTATTTATTTATTTTATAAAAAGAGATTTTCTAGTCATATTACATATCAGCCACAGATTCCCCTGTCCTCCCTCCTCCCACCCCCAGCCTTCCCCCCCCAATCTACCCCCCATTCCCACCTCTTCCAAGGCAAGGTCTCCCCTGGGGAGTCAGCAGAGCCTGGTACATTCAGTTGAGGCAGGTCCAATCCCCTCCTCCCTGCACCAAGGCTGAGCAAAGTGTCTCAGCATAGGCCCTAGGTTCCAAAGAGCAGGCTCATGTACCAAGGACAGGTCCCTGTTCCACTGCCTGGGAGCCTCCTAAACAGTTCAAGCTAATCAGCTGTCTCACTTATCCAGACGGCCTGATCCAGTTCCATGGGGGCTCCTCAGCTATTGGTTCACAGTTCATGTGTTTCCACTAGTTTGGCCATTTGTCCCTGTGCTTTTTTTTTTGTTTTGTGTTGTTTTTTTTTTTTTTCCAGTCATGGCCTCTATATCTCTTGCTCATATAATCCCTCCTCTCTCTCGTCGATTGGACTCCTGGAGCTCCACCTGGGTTAGCTAGGCTCTTGAGAAAAAAGAGTAGAACATGTTAAAGCTAACCCTTTTCGTTCACAGTATCCATTTCTTAAGTCGGGTTTTCCTGATAGACGTTACATATTTTTAGCTGTTTTTTATATGAGGTTTTTGTTGACGGGCTCCCCAAACAGCATTTACTCAGCTGCCATGCAGTGAGTTATTTAACCTTTGACCCTTGGTGAACTCAGCCATGTAACTGCTGTGGGCCTGACAGGCCCTCCCTGGGCTAGCCTGGGTACTTGTTCATGACTCCAGTGCAGTTTCCTTTCAGAGTCTCACTCAGCCAGGTTCCCAATCACAGCCGTCCTTCTGCTGAGGCGAGGAGCTGCTGTCAGTTCTGATAAGGTTCTAATTCTCACTACAAGGAGATTGTGGAATGTGCTTCCATAATAAAATGTAGTCTGAAATAGACTGCTCTAAAGGTCAAACTGTTACAGCCTTTGGCACCACTCTAGATGCTAAGCTAATGTTCCAGTTCACAAAACTCTTTATGTTTGCTTGCAGACTGGCAAGATCGCAGTGGAAAATCCTCCTCACAACTCAATTCTCCATCCCTATTGCCTTTGCTGGCTTTTCTTGGAACAAGTTTAGATTCTGGAAGTTTGAACTCTCTACTTCTCTAAAATAAAGTCTTGAAGGTCACTGTCCCTCATATCAGAGTCTCCTCCAATCTCTCTCTCTTTCTTTGTGTGTGTGCTGTCCTCTTTCCCTTAGGTTAATACGTAAGTCACCCCCAGTATGCTTCAATTATCCTAGTAGCATGGGAGAGTGAGACACTGACTTACAAGAGATAACCGAGACCCCAGGGTACTCACCAAGGTTACAACTAGCAGACCTTTATTAAATATATGTTATAGAGCTTGAAATAGCTGTCAGTGCAACACCAACAAATGACTCCCGATACAAGGTACACAAATGAAAAGGGCCTGGGTAAACCTCCCCAGATAGCAATCACTTGGCAGTGAGGTAAGAACAAAAGGCTTAGTTGACAGCTACAACTGTGTTTTAAGAGTAGGTAGGATTTAGGTAACTTAACTGAGAGCCGAGACTTGGAAGGAAAAGAAGTAGCGAGTACAAAGTAGGTTTGTAGTTCGATGAGCACACATAGAGTCTGGGATAGAGGTAGGTTGGATACGCACTGCCTGTCATGGGGCTTGCCAAACTCAAAGGCCCCTTCACGCTGAAATGGATAGCCTACTACTGCATGCTGATAAGGAAGGAGACCCAAGCACGGCCTTTTTGAGGAGGTAGGTGGATCTGTAAGCAACCCAATCAATCGTGGCGATTCTGTTGTGTCATGACTTAGTTTGCCCAGAAGAGCTATGCATGGTTTGAATTTGAAATGTGTCCCATAGCACTTGTGTTCTTAGCATAGGGTCACCAGCTGGTGGCACTGTTGTGGGAGTCTGTGGAGTCTTGGGGGAATGGGAGATAAGCAGCTAGAGGTCAGCCTTGAAAGTTATCCCATCTCTAATTCTGGTCCAGCTCTGTGCTTCCTGATCTACTACGAAGGGAGGGAGCTGAATAAGACAGTTGTACCACCATAAACAGGATCTGGCCCCACCACTATGCTTTCTCTGAAATAGATTTATGTCCTCTGCAGTTGTGAGCCAAAATAAATCCTCTATTCCTTAATGTGTTTGAATCAGATATTTGGTCACAAGTGAGAAAAGAAACTATGACAAGCACCTGGCTAGTCAGCTTATACCCATTACCTTTGAAAACTAAAACCTGACTGTGACAGCAAAGGAGAGCAAATAACTTGAAAGAAAGACCCTGCAGGACAGACCTCTCATTCACACCTCTTAAATCTTGAGGCTTTTTTGCCTCCACAAGAGGCCAGTGACTCCAAAATTTCATATGAGATATGGATGTTAATTAAGGGTTATAGGACAAAACTTTCAATATTTTGAACTTTCTAAGATT